AGGCAATCCACCAAGCTAGTGTACAACTAAATAAATACACACACCAACCATCACAATCACCAGGTGCAGAATAGTAAAGAACTAATAATTGGAGGGTACAACCACTCAAATGGAATCGTGAAGCAAATCTTCCAGTTGTCAAAATCTAAAAAATTAGACCATATTTCATCACATTACAGATGAGAAACATAATTATGAAATTTTCCAAGATGTAAACAAAGTCAAAAGAGAGAGCTGATGTGATTCTTCATAAGATACAAGCCAATCTTACCTCTTCTCATACTGTATCAGCCACCTAAAAAACTCATTGAAGTGATGGCAGACCTCATATGCAGCCAAATCATTTTTTATAGAAACCTTGAAATCCTATCTCATCATCATATGCTTTGATTATCTCAGGAGCTACCTCCTTATACTTGGTCAGAAACCTAGTTTCAAAATTCTCTTTGCTAGGATGCATCATCCAAACCACAGCTACATCCTTCCGAATCAAACCTTTTGACATAAGAACTTGCAGAATTGACCATCTTGGAATGAATCTCCTTTCCAAACTAAATTGAAAAAGGTTTGGGCATTCAGAAATCTCTGATGCTTTTAACCCTGCCTTGTTCACGAGGAAATCCATCACTTCCCTGATTCTTCTTCTCTGAGGAAAGCATAAACCTCGGTTCCGATTTGAATGCCGAATTAAATGTGCTTTCAGACCAACCAAAGCTCATACAAGCTTCCTTTTTCTTTTCCCAATTGAGTTTGGTATTCATAGTCATTGAACAGATAGCCCATAAGTATGATATACTTTTGTGATCAAATCTCATTCGTTCTTATGTATCGTTGGAGTAAATTTAACGTGGGTTTGATTCGGTTTTCTAAACTGTAACGTAACATGTAACATGAACAGATAATCCTAGGCAAGTCAGGTCCGACAAGACCCAAAGATTTGAAATACTCAATTTTGGGTCTCAAATTTGTCTTTGGATCAACCAAAATTAATTTTGGGTTTGTAGAAATTAGGACTGAAATATGTTTGTCAGTGAACCCATACGACGTTAGGAGCTCAAGAACCGAGTCCGGTTTCTCTGTGTTCTTGATGTTGAACGTCTTAGAAGCTGAGAGAGCAGATTTTAGAGACAACCCACATGACTTTGTGAGGTAAGAGATGGTGATAGCTTGTTTCTCGGTGAAATTTGAGTTGTTTGCTATTGCTTGGGTTTCCAAAAAATGAACAATAATGGGTGTATTATGACTGATTCTGTGATATGTGAGAGTGTCGTATATGAAATGAAAGATAGGTGATATAGACTTACAGGATCTGAAAGCCATAGCCTTGAGCGAATTGAATGTTAGCCTCTGCCCTGTGCTCGAACTTACACAAGTTTCAGGGAGAAAAAAAAAAACCCTACCCTAGCAAGAGTGATTCAGAAAAACCCTGCCGCAATAATAGCATATAATGCATATTAGCAAAAAGTGTGTTTTTTTTTAAACCCTGCCGCAATAATAGCATATAATGCATATTAGCAAAAAGTGTTTTTTTTTTAAAAAAAAAAATGCCGTTGCCGGGAATCAAACCCGGGTCTCCTGGGTGAAAGCCAGATATCCTAACCGCTGGACGACAACGGATTTATGTTTCTAATGTCAAATATAAACACTATTATTAATATACCTTACCCCTAGTAGCAGTAGTATTATTATTATTAATAAGAAAACGAAAAGAGAAGTTAGTATTAATTTCATAGGCCAATGGGATGAATAATGGAATTAAAAAATACATATAGGCCTAACATTTATTGATATACTAATTAAAAGGAAGATTGAGAATAGAGATAGTAACTCAACATGCATTTGACCCCCTTTTTTTTTTTTTTTTTTTTTTTTTTTAGATAATAGTGATATAGAGCTTCTTAAAATATTCACATAATTTATGATCAGGCACATGCATCAAGCAAATTATCAAAAAGAATCTATGAGGGAGGTCTAAAGAATTTGAACTACTGACCTTTTAAATGTGAAGTGAAAGTCTTTATCATTACAATAGTACTGATTAGAATATTCTTTGAAATTAAATTAAATTAGTTTGTGACATCATATTAATGTCACTGTCACAGTTAATATTATGTGACGAGAGTGGCAAGGGGCAATTTTTTTTACAGTTAATATTATGTGACGAGAGTGGCAAGGGGCAATTTTTTTTTAAAAAAAAAATTGCTTACTAGATCAATCTCCACACAAGCGTCTACAATTAATGTTAAGGAATTGCATGAAGCCCTTGCATGCCAAAAAAAACAAACACAAAACTATAATGCGTATGACAATAGCGCATATGACCAAAATTATAGAAAAGTTTAATGTTATATTTAAAATTAAAAGGGTGGTTCCTGTTATTTAAACAATCTAGTAATTATCTGTAAAACAAATTTTTTTTTTTTTTTCATGACAAGAATGTTAGCGATTAGTGGTTAGAGGAAAGGGAAGGGTGCAAGTAGGGATGGCAATGGGGCGGTTTGGGGCGGGTTTCCCATTCCCCATCCCCGCCCCCATTTAATTTTGGTTCCCCCAAAACCGCCCCATAACCGGTTAATTTTTTGCCTCTAATCCCCATAACCGCCCCCGCCCCCGCCCCACTTGCCCCGCCCCCGCCTCATCACCTGCCCCATAACCGATTATATTTTTATTTAAACACAATCATAGCACATATACACATATATATACACACACACACACACACATATATATATATATATATATATATATATATATATATATGGAAGTGTTAAGTGTAGGGTTTCCAATATATATATATAGAGAGAGAGTGTGTGTGAAGGTTAATTTGGTAAATATATTAACATGGTAGGATAAATTAGTAATTTAAAATATTAAACGGGGCGGTTATGGGGCGGGGATCTTAGACCCCCGCCCCCGCCCCGCAACCGGCCGGTTTTTTTTTTTTTTAACCCCCATCCCCACCCCATTTAAGTAAACGGTTCTCCAAACTCGCTTTAAATGGGGTAGGGGCGGGACGGTTCCCCACCGGATTGGAGATTTTTGCCACCCCTAGGTGCAAGGCTTAAACACAGACTCCCAAACACAAAAAACAACCCAACCACTAAAGCAACACGTCACTTGCAAATGTTATTCATTTATCCTATAACACTTTGGACCCCTTGAATAACCAAGCAATTGTCTTCCAATGTAGCAACCACTCCATATTCAAACGGTTTTAGAATTATAAACCAATTTTGGCTTTCCATCTTTTTAGAATCAAAACATAACTTACATTTCATAAAACTTCTTTAAATTTATCCGGTCAATAATTTCAAGTCCTGTATAACATGGACACGAACATGGGACACGGATACAACACATGGATATATAGACATATCAAATTTTTTAAAAGTATGACACGAATACGGTTTGGACACGGTTATATATAAATATGAATTTTTATTTATTTACATATATTAAATAATAGTATTATAAAACTTTAATCATTTCTATACTAAGAGTTGTAATGGCTTTTTATATCATATATACAGTTATTCCGCTACTTTGTCGTAATAGTATTTTTATTTTAAATGAATAAATATCATTTAATACTTCGTTTATGATTATATGTTTATAATGATAATTTTTCTAAAAGAAAAACACTTTAGAATATCTTCATATTGTTTTCAAAATTAGGTAGGTTTGTGTTAGAAATGTTTGGAAGTGTCAACCTAAATGTTCGAGGAGTGGTGTTGGTATCCGAAACGGGTACGACTTCTTTGTAGAAGTGTGCGTGTTTCATGTAATATAATTTCATTTTGAAAATATATATATATATATATATATATTTGTTTTTCATTTTAATCTAATTTTCTCTCCATGGATGTAGTTATATATAAAAGTGCTTCCAGAAATAAAGAGTGCCATGGAGGCCAATTTATACTGCATTCTTCCCTATTCTCAAGTCCAATCATACCCTTATTTTTATTTAAAGTAAATTCTACTTATCTCTCTTGAGATTTGTTAACATCTCACATAAACCCCTCAATGTTTCATAATCCCACTTACTTCCCTTATGAGCGACGGCCATCAAACTTGATAATGGTAATACGCTAATTTACCGTTTTGTCCATGAATTAAAATTGTAATTTCAATTACAAGGACAAAATTGACCTTTTATCAATTTTCTCCCCATGATATAAAGCATAATCCGTTAGATGGTTAATGGGGAGATGAGGAATCTATTACATAAACTTTTTTTTTTTTTTTTCCTCCTAAATTACATAAACCAGAACTTCATGAGAATATGAAACGTAGAAGGATGTAGGTAGAATATTGACAAACTGAGATAAAGTAGAATTTAACCAACCCTTTTGATAATCTTAGGATTCTTACCATCACTAGCGGATGGGCTTGGGTACATGAGCAGAAAATCCTCTTAAGGCCGCAACTATTTTCAGGATGCCACTTTGCTTCTATAATTGTTTTTTCTTTCAATAAATATATCTGAATTACTAAAAAAGGTAAATAAAAATTGTATGTGTATAAACAAACGTGTGTGTGTGTATATAATAAATATAATAATAATACATACGACTCTAGGATTCTAACTTTTAGCAATCATGCTTAATTATATACCACAAATAAATGTTTATAGTTCTTGTTAGAAGTCTAGAACAGATAATAAGCATTTACATAAACTAAATAGTATCCAAACACATGCCTGTTGACACCATGAATAAGCACACACAAGATATGTAACAAGTAACAACCAAAAACCTCTATATATATCCAATCACAAACACCCAAAAAAATCCATATAGTCCTCTCATTCTTTTCCATTGATAGATCACCTGAGAGGACTGGCCTTATACTCTTTATTGTGTATATAAATTTATGAGATATTATATATATATATATATATATATATATATATATATATATATGCATAGAAGGAAGGGTAATAGTTACCTAGAATTTCAACTCATCATCATATAAGCATGTTTTTCATGCCACTAAGATGCATCACAGCATATACTTTATCTTCATAACCATTATATTGGGTGCAACAGGTACTTCTAATTTAGGCCTTTTCACCAAAATTTTCTCTCTTTTTTCTTTTTCTTTTTCTTTTCCTTTGAAAAATGGGGGAAAAATTAATAATTTATGCAGGTCTCAGTACAGAAAACCTCAAACATATATACCATATTATCTCAAAAACATAAAAGCAAACAGTTTCACCATCAAGAGACCATCACTAAACTTTTGGGATTGCATATTTCCCAACTCTTGGCGAAATTATGGTTTGTGCTTCCGTTGTAGTCAATATCTGTGGTATTGACAAGCCCCCAGAGATGACAATCTCTGCAACATATAAATCGAGAAATTTTGTTTTATCATTTTATTGAATGAAATTCCAGCAGTTCTGCATGTTGTAGCTAGCTTAGTTTCGAACTCTTACCCAATCCTTCTCGAACAGAGAGATTAGGCCTCATAATGTCCTTCGAACTGATGAGGAAAACGTCGCCAATATAAAGATGGTTGGAGGGCACATAGACGCAGCAGAGTTCTTCTGCACCTGAGCTCTTGCGGAGAATGACAGTAGATGTGATGAAACCGAATGCATATTCCCCAACACGCGGATGCCTTATGATGGCCACTTCCTTGAAAGCGTGAGAACTCTGATCTGAAAGAGTGATTTTCAGCGACTCTATTCAGAATTATGTATGCTGACGCTAGGATTTAAGCTGAATATGATCACCTGGTGATATGGCTGCACTAATTTGTTTTGAAGCGGAGTAAATGTAGCTCATCAACGGCATCTTCTTGATAAACCATTCCCCCAAACTGAGAACAGAAGCTCCCAACCACGAGGACATGAACACACCAACCAAGAAGATGAAAGTGATGGAGGTCAGAAAGCCGAGACCTGAGAATTGGTTATGGAAATCGAAAGAAGAAACTTGTTATGCTCATACTAGAATCTGGCTTTTGCTTGTAAACTTTACTGCAAAAAATAGCTTAAATTTTAGAAAGACTACAAACAACACTAATTTCTCAATAGCTTAGGAAGCAAAGTCATTAATTGGACTCATTACTTTGGTCAAAGTTCTATTTAATGTAAAGGAAGGGTGTTATAGTATCAATCAAGAACATATTTATTTCTTATTGCCCCAACAAAACATCCAAACTTTAGTCTATTGATAATGGAACTACATTGCCACAGATTGATGTAATTCACTTTCCAAATGGACAGAGCAGCAGTAGAAAGAAAACATTTTGTTTGCATTAGCACGGAATGTACTTCAGGCATTGCAACATTATTGCACTAAATTCACATTGAGATTCCGAAAGAGACACCTTATCCCTCGTGGAATCCGTCTAGCATGCTCATAATCCTGTGATTTTTCCGTTGATGTGTTTTTCAGTTGAAAACACTGACAGAAGTAACTTAAGTAACCATTTCTATATCCTTTCCATGAGTTCACCACAAAACTACATATAAAACAACTTCATTTTCTTTTTTTATCAAATACATTATAACAATCTTTTTGAACAGAAACTGAGACAGAAAAATCCATATTTATGAATGTAGGCCGCACGACAATTTCTTCAATTCAATCAAGAGTTGTATAGGCGATCAGCAATCCCATCGTTAATTTTCATGGTGCTACAAACCATTTCATCTTTGTATAAGGTCCATATGAATTCCAGAAGTTAAAAGACAAACTTTATATTGGAATTATCTTGATACCATCCTCAACTTTGCACATCTGAATTAGCTTCCTTTCTGTAACCTTAATTTTCACATTTGAATCAAACCTCAAATATTTATGTAGTAGTACCATGCATGTCCAAATATACAGTGCAATAAAATTCGAAAAAGTTAAATATACTAACCGAAGATATTGATCCCCACATGACTATATATTGGGGAAAAGAACCCATCAACAAAATGAATGAACCACCAAGTGGTGTAGAACGTGATTGCTATGGGAAGTGTAATGACACTGCAAAACAATGTAAATTTGTACATTTCAATATATTTCCAATTATCTATTATGCTATACATTTAATTTGAAAAAGATGATGCATTAGTGTAAGACAATTGGTACATAAACAAATATAAATGAGCGTATAACACTAAATAAGATAAAGTGTTAAAAAAACCCATCCATATATTACTGCCAGATTTTTTTAGCTGAAGTTGTTAGATGTTCTTATTTCTGCAGGCTGCACTGGCAAGCAAGGGGGATGACATACATGTGAAACAACTACGAAATTGGTGTTTGACTTCATTAAAAGTAGTCTGAGAATATCGAATGTAACTACAGGATTGGTCAAGTGGTACAACTAGTAAATCATAGAAAAGATTGTGAACCTTCAACTATTATGTGCTAAATTTACCATGTCATTAACGCGTCATGAATTCTTCATAAACCATGGCACTTACAGAGGACATTATCCATCACGAGGTGGCAGATTACTTCATTTAAAGAGGGTGGTGAAGGTAATGATACTTTCTCGATATGCTACACTGTTTAATATTTATATAATCCCAAACAAATCTCTTTGATTATAGGGTTTTATTAAGCATCCCTTCTTATATAGGCTTCAGCGTCCTTGTCCGTTGCAATGAAAGAAGTCTTTGAAAATAATTTGGCTTCCCATAAATGTTAAAAGGGTCACAACAATTATTTTTACTTCCCAAGTCAGAATACCTAACTAGTTAGTATAATTGAGGCAGCTCCACGGGTGTGTGCCAAGGTTTGGCATGTATTGCAGATTTTATATATATATGTGTGTGTGTATGTATGTATAAATGATTATGAAGACAGATCAGAGGGAAAAAAGAAATCAAAAGGTTAACATTCTGGTTTATGGATATGATTGAACAAGCTAAGATATGCACACATGTATTATTATTTTTCGGGGAGATTTGATACTAACAAGAATGTTATAAGAAGAAAAATAAAAAAACAATTTCAAACTTTCCTCTCAAAACTATAAATAAAAGAAAAACATATAAGCACTGGGTTGCCGGAAGGGGAGAACCGAAAGCAGGATAGAACCCTTAAAAAAATAATAATAACTCGGGTCAAGAAATATGACAGTTTCTGTTGCAAACTTGCAATATATATATCCAGCACAACAATGGAGTTCTATGAAATAAGAAAAAGAAAATTTGAGCACCAAAGAACTAACCATCCCGACATAAACTTTTTTGAAGCCCAGCTACGAATTACTTTGTAAAATGCCTGCACAACAGCACAAGTAAAGAACAAGAAAGCCTTGTTAACATTTCTTTCGAAAAACCCTAGTTTCAAATAAGACTTCTACTACTGAATAAATCATATTAAGCATCACATAATATCAAAGTGACTTCAACAATGTCTAATTTTCATCAAATTGTTTCTGAATATTTATAATCCCAGTTGCAAGATTCTCATTGCTGCAGGCTGCTCTTGACATTCACCAGAACTCACATTGCTTATATAAGCTGTGCCATTTAATACATAAGTTCTTATAAATATCCCTAAAATGAAATTGCAGTTCAATTGAAGGATATTGATATATATATTTTTTTCTTATAGAAAAATCCGAAAGCCCTAATAATATTATAAGGCCATAATAGTTTATGCAAATGGTAGCTGAATTCAGACATAACATTTAGCATTATATTGAAAAAATAAATAAAAACAAAAATAAAATACTCACAACTTTAAACTCAAAAACAGATTCATTAATAGACAATTAGCCAAAATCAGGATCAACTAATAATTATGCCTCCATTATATTCAAGAAATTATTGAAATTATATGACAAGACATTAATAAAAGAGGTGAGCAACAGAGATTGTAATTAACTACAAACTACCTTTAGTTGTTAATAAAATGAGACAATTACATATTCAAACAGAGAAATGAAATTTGTGATATAAGCTTCAGTAGTCAGATAAATAAACCCACAAATTCAAACATTGTGACATGGAATATATAGACACACACACAGCATTTACACACACATATTAACCTCTTTGCCGGAGTGATGGGAAGAAGAAGGAACAGGGAATGCCGACGGCGACGGTGATTTAGGGCTACCATTATCAATGATTCCCACTCCTCCAACTGGAATTAGACGTTCATGATCTCTCTCATCATGATCTCTCGTCCCCATCTCTCTTTCTCTCTCTAGCTTTCTCTCTCCTGCGAGCTATCAGTAACGAACTTTGTTGCTATAGGCCCTCGCTCGTTAACCGAATATCATATTCGTATAATGCCGGTTTAGCGTTACCGCTAGAACAAACAAACTGCTTTCATCCACTGTCATAAATTTGGTGTGATCTTTTGGAAGAAAATTTGGTGTGAGTAAAAAAGATAAATATATTTTTAATTTATTTGGTTACAATAATATTTATTAAAGTACTTTTATTCTTAATTTTATAATAATGTCTTTTAATATTATTTTATATTTGATAATAGCATAAAGGAGAGATAAAATTGTTTTTATAAAATAAATAAATAAAATGATGCTTTGAATGCCATTAAACAGGCTTCAAAACAAAACAAAAATTATTGTCAAATAGGGTCTTATAAAGTTGAAAATTTTAACTTAATTTAAAAGTTCTTAGAAGTTTAAGTAAATTTTTTAAATAAAAGCACTTTTAAGTGGTTCAACAGCAATCTCAATGGGGTCATGATTGGACGCACATGAAGTCGAATGCTTATGAGAAGCCTATCAATTACACCTTATGAGTGTTCGATTTGGTATGAATCGTTTTATGTAACTATTTTATGTTGTTGAGGTTGTAGAGCCTGAATCAGAAATTCAATTTATGTTATCGCTTCGTAAACTTTGGTTTAAAGTCTAAATTAATCGTAAACACCTTTATTGATAGTGAAATTTTTTGATGTCCGTAGGCAAAAATTGTCAAACCAAGTAAATCATGCGGTTTCTATTGTGTGATTGTTTTCTATTCCCAGTAGAATGGTTAAAAAAATGCCACCTTTAGAAATATCAAATAGGGGTTGTTATGTAAATAAATTTCATAAAATCACCAAACACGAATAAAATAAAATACATTAAAATGCTTTCTCCCTTTTTAAAATTTTAAAAAATGAGAATTAAGTATCAACTTTAAGTTTGGTAAGTTATATATATATATATATATATATATATATATATATTAACAAGATTTGAACTAAATGTTGTACATTTGTAGTGGAAAAAGATCATAAGAAAAATTTGATTATCTTGGCAAATGGCAATAAACAGAAGGCATTTTTGGGATTTCAACACCAAAATTCATTTAGCAAAATATATTCCTTAAAAACAAAAGTAAGATTATTTTAACAACACTATTATAATAAAATTTGCTAAGCATGTAAAAAAGGACTGGAAAAACAATAATTGTCATGCGAGCAATTTCAGTCCAAATTAATATGCTATTTAAATTTTGGATTTTATTTTTTTTAAGTGACTTGTCTGGTCTTGAGCTCTGTAATCAACCATGGGACACATACAATTCCTCATTTTATGTGCACCAAACAATTATTAAAAAAATTTCTTTGTGACAAAGAAGATACAAATAAGTATAATCTAGTAATCTAATTGATTGAGCATCTAACTTCCTAAATAAGTGTACTCGTATTTCTCCTCATTATTTAGATGGATGAAAAAAAAAAATCAAGAATTTAAATCTTCGCATTCACCCTCGGACAAATGTAGTCCATTGTTTCACGAGCACCAAAAAAACTATTGAATAATTTTCTTAGTAGTAACCAAGAGAATTCAAAGTTCAAATTATTTGCAGGAAAGAGAAAATAATTAGTAATAATAATAATTATTATTGTTATTACTAGTAATCTCAAAATTAAGGGCAGTTAAGGCATTGGTGCATAGATGCACCAACTAAAGTCACTGCTCGTCTGGTCCTTCGATCTTAAGACCCTAAACCTCAAAGACCATAATCTCTCGTACGATGCGTTTGGTTTCAGTTTGAAGTCAGATCGATCACCGGAACCCTAATCCGGCATCGGAATTTCCAGTCATATTCATATCTGTAGATTTTGGGAGTCTTTCAGTGAAGAGGTCGGAGACGTATCTCCGGTCTGAGAGAAATGATAACCCGGTCTAAACTCGTCGAGCAACTCAGAGATTACCAGATCCGATCTCAGCAAAAATGCCCTGCTCTCACCGTCTTCTCCCCCAAACCCCATATCACAACCTGGTATCACTCTCTCTCTCTATATTGTGTGTGTCTGCGCGCGCGCCTATATGGTTTCCATTTTTCAGATTTTGAATTTTTATAATGCAACTCATATCAATTATGTATATAGCTATTTCATTGAGAAATTATTGTGTTTATGGTATGTTATTGCATTATTGAATCTGGGACTTGTATCATTGAAAAACGTAATAACAGTTTAATTGTGCCGCAATTTGTTTACACATTACCAGTGGCTAGAAAGCATGAACATGTATGCTTATTAGAAATATTCATTCTTGTAAAGTTACAATGTGAGATTGAGACGAGTGTTGTTGAGGGTTGGTATTTATTTTTAGGAAGGCTAATGAGGGATATAAGCATGTCAATGGGAGGTTGTAATAAGTTTTCAGTCTATTATATGAACTAGAAGACGCCCATCGGCGTTCAATTATGTAGCTACAATAGGACATGTGTTTTTTTTTTTGATAAGTAATAGCTACAGTAGGACATGTTGGGCAAAGCATTAACTTGTATACCTTATTTGAAATATTATTTCTTCTAAAGTTACAATGTGATATTGAGACAAGTGTTGCTGAGGGTTGGTATTTATTTTTAGGAAGGCTAATAAGGGATATAAGCATGTTAATGGGAGGTTGAAAAAAAAATTCAGTCTATTATATGAGTTAGAATATGGGTTTCAGCGTTCCTTTATGTAGAGACGACCATAGGACATTTTGGGTAATCCCTGCACCATCCTGTGACTGCTGTCCCACCAAAACTTACATGGGAGGGAGTAACTAAAAACGATTTAAAAAAATTAAATCTAAGAGAAGACATGGTAGACAATAGGAAGGAATGGAAAATGATAATTTATACCCCATCCATATGGGATAAGGACAAGGATGATGATGAGAGAGAGGGATGGTACATCATTTGGTAGGAATGGAAGGGAAGGGAAGAGAAGAGGAAGGGAGGTTCTCACTTTTGGGACTATTTTTTTCCCACAGGAGTAAGAGGAAAGGAGGAATTGGATTCACTCCTCTTTGACTTTTTTATCCTTCAAGACCTTCCTTTAATATGTAAGCATATAATAGTAAGAATCCTATGACAGTCATTTCCTTCCTTTCTCTTTACTTCATTCAACCAAATAAAAAGAGGAAAAAAACCTTTCCATTCCTTAGGGATACCTTTTCAATACCTTTCAAGTCATATCTTCCCTTCAATTTCCCAACTGGAGTATAAAAAGTTACTTTGCGGTAACAGTTTTACATGAGTAATATGAAATGATGGGTATTTATTTCAATTGTTACCAGATGTAGATGGAATAGTTCTATAAAGGATTCCAAACTTCATTCTTCTCCCTATGCACTTGAAACATATCTGTATGAGGTTTGAAAATTCAATATCTGTATGAGGTTTGAAAATTCAATATCTGTTCGCTATAATAGTATAATTAAACTGAGAAGGATTTTCACTATCCACAATCTAAGAAGGAGTCAGATGGTGAATTGGTGTTGCATGTGCAAGAAGACGGAGGAATCGGTGAATCACCTCCTACTTCATTGCCCGGGGGCAAGGGATGTTTGGTCTTTGTTTCTGGCTATGTTTGGTATGCATTGGGTGACTTCCGGTTCCACGGAGGACATGCTCGAGGATTGGAGAAGTGTATGGTGGATAACCAAGCCATAGATGCTTGGAGAGCCATTTCCCTGTGTTTATGGTGGGGCTAGGAGATCCTTTGATGGAGAGGAAAGTCGTATTTGGTCTCTCAAAAATATCACATTGAGTTCTATATTTTTTTGGTTAAATGGGTGTAATTATAAATTTGTGGGGGATTTTGTGGACTTTGTTGATAGTCTGAAATTATAGTTGGTCATTGTCAACTTTTTGTGTATTCTCTTGGTAGCGCTACCCTCTTGAGCGTATTTTAATGAAATCTTATAAAAATTAATAATAAAAATAATAGTGTAATTAAACACTTGCTGGCCAGTTGATTGTGAATGAAAAGATGCACGAAAGTATGGTAGGCATGCAAATTGGGAATTGGGAAGAAATTATATATTAATTTAGGGAATGAGAGACCTGTTTCTCTCAATGAGGAAGTACATCTTGATAATGCCCGCCATTTTGTGGTTACATAGATAAACATTGCATTGGTAAATTTTCTCATTGAGAGAAATAGTTATCCTTTAGATTTCATAAATTTTCACTATGTATTGTCTTTGGGAGGATTGATTTGAAAGAAAACAGTCTATGGAGAAGATAATAAGTGCAAATTTTCTACTTTTATTTTATTTTATATATATATATATATATATATATATATCTGTTGTTGGTGGTCGGTCCTTGTGTCTGCATTATGGCAAGGAATTTTGAGGTTAATCAATGTTTACAGAGGAAGTTGGAGATTTGTAAGAAAGGGGATTTGTATAATTTTTGGGTGGTTAAGGTTTGGAAGACAACTTTGTGCATTTTCTTCCTGGTCCTTCTGCATTGGTGGTTGATCTGTTGGCTCAATTTGTGTGATTATTTGCGTGTGCGTTTTTGAGGAAGTAGAATGGTCCCTAATCTTTTCTAGGTATTTGCAAAAATGGAAGCAAGTATTATGAAATGGTTATTTTTGACTTACTGTGTCCTTTGCTGTATGATTCTAAGAATCAGGGAGCAAGAACTAGATGGAACTCTCATGGAAGACTTCTGTCTGCCACTAAAGCTAGTGCCTTTATAGTGAAGACTGAAAAGTCAGAAGTGCTTTTTGCATAATTTTTAGGGTAAACTGCAAAAAAAAACGTATAACTTTCAACGATTTGCAAATACCTCCCTGGTGATGCAACTAACCCCGCAACAATTAGAAAATTGCAATTTACCCCACTCCGTTAAAGTGACGTTAACCCTCACGTCCATTTACGATTTTATCATTTCAAAGATTAAAAAAAAAAGAACAAAAAAAACTGGTCGTTGGAAAAATTACGAAAGAATCCAAAACCGAATTGTTCTTCTCTACAGCTCAAAATCAATCCACTATCTCTCCATCTCAAACTAGGGTTGCAGCATTGTGCTATATGAATACATTCTTCTTTCCAGCTTCTTCATTCGCAATATGGGTGGGTTATTAGAACTAACTGGGTAATCCATTTATTTATACCCATTTGCATTGTGGGTCAATAGATGGATATAAATTGACCCAAGAGCATTTTAGTCAGTCAAAAAGAGTTACAGGGCTTAGCAAGCCGGTTCTATCTGGTCTGTATTCAGGCTATTTGGTTGGACTCTCAGGCCAGGTCAGCTTCAACACTTAAGTCTAGGCTGAGCCCATTGGCTTGAGTTGTCTCTAGTTGATCAGATTGTTTTTGTAATTCGAGATTAAGTTGCATGGTAATCAAGTCCGTTGATTATTAAAATTTGCTGAAAACAATTAAAAGTTTTAGTAAACAATGTTTTTGTTGTCTGAGTTGTCTCTAATTGAACAGATTTTGTAGTAGCTATCATTTCTCGATATTAAGTTGCATGGTAATCATGTCTATTGATTTATTAAAGTTTGCTGAAAATAATGAAATTGATAATACCTGTGTTATCAAAGCTTGAATATTTATTAGTCTTTGGGAGTTTGCTAGTCTTAACCATCAAAACTTGTATATCTTTTGGTCTCTGGGAGTTTTCTAGCCTAAATTAAAATTTTGCAGCCATGTCACCTGGTGTTTTTACACGAGTGTGCACATTATATGCAGGATTGGCTGATGCGGTAACACTTTTCAAACCTTGATTTAAATATATGCTGAAGCCAAGGTGATTTGTGATCATTGGGTGATATCATAATGTTTATCACCCTTGGTGTTCATTGTTGACAAGGAGACAAATGATTTCACAAAGGAAAAACATTGTAGGTGGCTCTCTTTGTTTCAGTGGGAAAATGTTGCTAGAAAAAAAAATTGGGAAATATCTTGCTTCCTTTAAGATTAGAAGTGATCTTTTCTACCTGAAATTTATTTGCTCTCCTTAGGTAAAATCTGTTTCGACTTAAAATTAACTTTTCCAACAGGAATATTTTTCTCAAAACAACAGAATCTTAAAAATGCACTTAAACTCTTGTAGTGGCCTCTGTTTTCCTATTATTTTTCACCTCAGTTGTTTAGTTCTGCAATTGTAAAGTTCTTATAGTATAAATGATGTGATGCCTCCCAATTCCTAATGCGTGCACACCACCACTACCAGTGGGGGCGTTTGGAGGGGAGTAAACAAAAGTATGTACAAATTGCTAACAGCAGTTACGGTAAAAAATTCAGGAATATCTTGCTTCCTTAAGGGTTTGATTGGTAAGCCGGAAATTGATGATGGAAAGTGAAAGGAAAAGAAAGTGACGTAAAAGAAACATAAATTATGTTTCTATCATGCATTTGGTTAGCCTGATTTTTTTGTAAAAAATTTGTGGGAAAATGTTGTTTCATTAGTTTGGTTAGAAAGAAAGTGAAAAGAAAATGATTATATACCAAAATTACCCTCATGAATTCAATACTAAGTAAAATACATCATGCAACAAGCATAATAAAAAATATAAATAATTGTTTTATGAATAAAAATATATGTGCTTGCATATATATAGAGAGAGAGTCTAACTTAAATAGGAGTCCTAATTGAAAGAGTTAGAAAGTTGTAATATAAGTAGGAGTCCTAATAAAAGAAGTCACTCTTTTTGTGAGTCTAAAAAGAAGGAAGAGAAATAACTGCCGAGGGTATAATTGGAAACTAACACATAATGATATAACTTTCACGCGAAACTGAAATTTAAACATATTAAGGAAAATCAACCAGTTATGGGAATATTACTTTCCTGAAATTTTCCCTTTCACGCTAACCAAACTACCAAATAATTTTAAAAAAATTCGTTTCTTTTCCTTTCTAGCTAGTTGACGCTAACCAAACTAACCCTAAAAGATTAAAAGTGATTTTTTTCACCTGAATTTTATTTGCTCTCCTTAGGTAAAATCTGTTTACACCTGAAATTTACTTTTCCAATGGGATTATTTTTCCAGGAGATAATCTGTCAAAACAACAGAACCTTAAAAATGCGCTTAAACTCTTGTAGGGGCCTCTGTTTTCCTATTATGTTTCTCTTCAGTTGTTTACTTCTCCAATTGTAAATTTCTTATAGTGTAAATGATGCCTCCCCATCCCTAATGTGCGCACACTCCACCACTACCAGTGGGGGCGTTTGGAGGCAAGTAAAGGAGAGATGTACAAATTGCTAACAGCAGTTAGGGTACTTTACATATGGTTATTTAGGCAGCTCAAAATTGGGTGGCGAATGTTTTGTTGCACACATACCATCCATTCGGTATAAGCAAAAAATCTGCATACCATGTTTTCTAGGCAGATATCTAGTCCCTCTCTGCAATATGCTGCTTGTGGTGGATTTGAAGTTACGTTGAGCTTTCTTGGATGACTAGACCAAGATGTCCAAATATTCCTCTGGTCTTAGATTTACATCTTTGCCTAGGTCTTCCTGTCAACACTGTATACATTTTAAATGTTTGATAGGAACTATAATGATTTGTATGGTCACAGGTTTCTACCTTCTTGAAATCGCATTTTAAGTAACCTGAGGATCTTTGTATGTTATTAATGCGATTAAATGTAAAAGATTCTGTTCAATTTTTGCAGGGTTGATGTCTCTGTGGCAATCTTGTGGGCGTTACTGTTTTGCGTGCTTGTATTGTCATCCTGTTGGAACCTTTACTTCAGATATTTATGGCTTTCTTTTGTCCTCGTATGTCTCAGTATCCTTATTCCTGTTCGCCTGCGAATTTCTAGGCAGGAACTAGCAAGGAAGAGAGATAGAAGATTGTTGTTACCTTTGTCCATGTGAATACCCACAGTTAATGATGTAAGTTCAGCCCAATTATATGGCCAATGGGCATTTTTCTCACCTTTGATACATGTGACATTTATTAGATGTTTATAAGCTGAAAGCAATGATCTTTCAACAAGTACACTTGCCATCCTACTGGTTCTTTTTTCTTTTTATGATCCATATGTGAATTATTCGTTTCATTTGTAAACCCTACATGTTTGAGCTGCGAGTTAAAGGACCCCTAACCATTCCATTTTTCCATCATTGGCTTGAAATTTCATTTTGATGCCCAAATCTATACTTATTGTGTTTTTCTTCTATTTTATTTCCAAGAACAGACTGGTCAATTTGAGATAGATGGTATGGATTATCCATATTGCTTTTACTAATTATATATATATATATATATATAAAGGATATAATTACATTTGATTGTTGGAGGTATTGCAATTGACAACAAATGTCTACTATTAAAGTGGGTAATCTAGCTTTTGATGTAGATAACATTATGCAAGCTGTTTATGATATATATGTATTTTTGTACACATTTTTTGGTAACTAATCTCTGTAAGCATCCTATATACTCTCTAGAATTCTCCACATAAACATTCTAGATATATACAAACCCTACAAAATTCTCTACACTCTAAAATCGCTACAAGCTCTAATATTTTAGAATCTTTCAACTCTCTTTACATATTCCATAATCTCCACACAAATGTGGAAGACTATAGAACACGACGACGTTGTCCTTAGTGCTTGCGAGTCGCATGCGTGGCACAATGGGTTGGCAATACGCCACTCATTTTCATTTACTTTCCTGGGGACCTTAGATATACATTCCAAAATCTGTTACTATATTAACCTGGATACTGATACAAGTAGGTATGTCCTAAGGTTTGGTTCTAAACATACATTAACCTGGATACTGATTCAAGTAGGTATGTCCTAAGGTTTGGTTCTAAACATACACTAAGAGGTGCCCTTTCTATTAAGTTGTGAACTCAGTTTTGGTAGGAAATATACTTCTGACACTTGAAATGCTATGGTTCTGTAGGGGCTTAACTCTCTTTGCTTTGATTTAAAAAATTGTGTTTGATTTCACCTGGAAGGAGAAAGAAAAAGTGAATTCTGTATGTTCCAAAAGGAGCATGTTTTAAATAATTTGGTGTGCTTCTTACACGACAGCCACTTCTACTTGCAAAGTTTTTTGGATTGTGATTAGATAATTTATCCAATTACAATTTTTAAACTTCTCTTTACTACAATGCTCTTAAATGAACTCTTTTGTCTAGCTGTCATCTCTCCTTTAAGTTGAATAGACAAGGCAATACTCGGTTACACTTGGTTTTAAAGGCCGAAATTTTCGGCTAATGAACACAACATTATGTCTAGATTATTGTTTATCTTTTAAGGTGTATTAGTTTAAAGCTATCATTGGGAACTTTAATTGCTGTACTCAGTATTTGATTAAGCCTAGCAGGGACTGATGCTGATATTGCCTTCACCAGGTGTCATGACACATCAATGGGGACCATGAGCTAAAGATGTGACATAGCCGAAAGCAAAAGTTAGTGAGCTGTGTAATCAAATATCTCCCATCCCAAGTTAAATTGGCTAGGTTTTTATCCCATTTCTTTGTGGTCTATTTCTTTTACATTTATTCTTTTGAGACAATTCTCTCTAAAAGAATATAAAAAACTGGAGAATACAAGGATTTTTTTTTTTTTTTCCTTTCTTTTTTCGTTTTCCTTTCAACCCATTGCTTCGTAACCATTGTAGGGGACATTGTTGTTGTGATGATGAGTTGGGGAACAGCTTCATGTTGTAGCCGAGAAGGTGCTTTACCGATGACTATTTAGAGATTGTTTTGCCATTTTTGTGATCCTGTTAGTTCAAGTATACCTGAGAAAAGGAGATTTATAATTGTGTATTTGACTTTAATAATATTGTGTGTATAAAACCATAACAGGACCTCAGGGCAAAGTCTCAAGAAGTTAAAATTTATCCTCAGCTTGTTTTCCCCTGCTCTTTACCAGGTTATTGTCCTCAACTTTCCATGCTGATTCCCTTTTTGTCTATATATGTGTGTCTCTATGTTTGTGTGTGTGTGTGTGTGTGTGTGTGAGCATGCAAATGGATTCAAAACATGAAACAAAGAGGGTTAGGATTTTCATATTTCTTGAAGACACTTAGAGTCTCTGAAAGTAGCAACAGCTGTATCATGTTCTTATAGAACCTCCAAAACCAGAAATAGTATAATTCTTAGATAAAGGACTAGTCCAGCTGTCCAAACTCTATTTATTGCAGAGTTTGACGAGAGTTAAATGTATGCAATTTTACTTTGATAAAGAAGAGAGAGATTTTTTATTTTTTATTTTTATTTTGTCATCTCGAAGTCACAATGTAGCCGTCTTATCCGTATCCTCTAGTATTATAATTTCTGTCCTAACTTCTCCCTCCCCAAAAGCTAACAGTGGCTCAATTAAAATCTACAATGAGCATAGAAAAGGATTGAATTGGTCAAAAAAGGATTGTAATGTGAAAGTTGAATGTAATGATTCTCTGAGCATTGAGCACCCACGTCTTTACAGAGCGATGAAGCGTGCACAATGATTGAAAGAGCTTTTGTGGGTTTTGCTTCTAAAATCATGAAATGGAGAGGCTGACACAATGATCTCTCCTCTTCTATTCACTTGCTTGCTTTTACCACAAACCCCAAAGTTGGCTTTGCTTTTGTCACCTCAATTTTGACTAGTCTTGTCAGCTGGTAGGGTATGAAATAGTACGGGGTTGACCCGGATCCGACTTGCTCCAATTTCATTTTATGGGTTTAGATTATAATTTTGAAACCCGTCAAATATGAATATCTTTTACAAAAATTGTCTCATTTTATAGGGGTTAAATATCATATATGGATCATATATTTTGTAAATTATATGGGTGAGATGTGAGTTGTCCATAGGATTCGGCTTGGATTTGGATACGGACCCCGGCAATTAAATATGACTTTAAAATAAAAAAAACATGGATCTTATTTAGATTTGCTTCAGTTTGATAACACAGGTTGGTTTTGGATTTCAAAAAAATATATGGGTAGGATCAATTAAATATGAGTCTGAATTGGATTTTTCTCAAAACTAATACTACTCGTATACAGCTAAAAAAATAATTCAAATGGACATAGGACCCTTTTCTTGGAAGTTTCTTTTGCATGGCATTCTCAACCTTTCTCCTTATTGCCTCTCTACTTCGTACACACAATTAAGGAAACAAAATGTTTTACTAGACAACATAGTATATGTTGATTGATAATTTGAAATTTACCTAACAAGTTTGAATCATCGCACAACAATTTATAAGACTATATATACTATGTTAATTGATAATTTGAAATTTACCCAACAAGTCCAAATCCTCCACTGCACAAGAGGCATGTTTATTGCGATTGATAATCATGAGACACGTGTGAGCGTGATCATCTTATCCAGTGGATAAAACTTACTATCAACAAAGGTTATAATTACTTACACGCGTAATCGTGAGACGTGTGTTAATGATCGTAATCGTCCTGTCCAATTTTGTACAACACGCGTAATCGTGAGACGTGTGTGAATGATCGTGTCCAATTTTGTACAACACGATGCTGTTCCTAATCCTAACCCTATTTATACCAGTAGTACTAAACTTTGACCAGCCTCTTAAAGTTACTGTAGTAGAATCCAGTGGCTTTGTCCCATAGAAGATCTTGGGCCTGACTTTTTTTATGTCAGTCGGCTTAACAAATCACCAGTGGCCCAGTCTAACAATCAAAATTGGGTTGTAAAGGACCTCCATCCTCGTGCCCTACACTACAGTACGCGGTAGGTGCACAATAAATCCCCTTCCCGATACGTCCTGTGCAGCGCACGTGTTGTGTGAACAGATTCATCATTCCAAACACGCCCCACCCGCACGAGTGGTTGGTCATTGCTTTTAGCTGGTTGGTTGGTCAGTTAGGTCGGCAGGTTTTGGCCTGTACTGTTCTCCATCTCTCTCTCTCTCTCTCTCTCACACACACACACACAATGACATTATATTTAAAAATTAGTTAAACCATCTTATATAATGTCAGTTAAATAAAATAAAAATAGTTTAATTAACTAACACAAACAAAAACAAGCATAAATATATTCATTTTTTTCTTCATATTTTTCAATTTATTTAGTTACCATTAACCCAATGGTATAAACTTGAGAGGCTTCACCTTCATGGTGATTATATATAGAGGAAAGTGCAAGAAATACACATGAAGTATACCTTTCATAGCATTTTTAACCCTTATTTAAAAATGTGTGCATAAAACACCCCCATTATTTTCAATTTGTGCAAAAACACCCCTCAATTAATATATTACCTATTTTACCCTTTTACACTTTCAAAAATGCCCCTACCAAACCTTACTCTCCACCCCAAAACCGCAACCACCATCTTGTTAAAAAGCACCCCTTCTGGGGACGGTACTTCTTATTATTGGTTGAAATGGAAGACAAACTCCTTATGTGGTTCTCAAAAAAGAGAAATATGTGAGTCGGCAATTTTCTGAGATGACCAAGGGGTTGTGCGGCTCTTTTATGCTTGATCTGCAACTGCTTCTTCCTTACTTTTGCTTGGGCTGTGATGCCCTTGGGTTAAAGCACTCATATACCTATTCTTATGCGGAGGGCCACCTCTTTCTGTTCAAGATTCCCGACCTGACCTGACTTAATGCCCTCTTTCACAAGACATTTGGTTCTCTTTCTTATTCTTTTTATTTATTTATTTATTTTTGAAAGATTACACAAGACAAGACATTTGGTTGAGAAAGAAGAACAGGGTGATTTATTTCAACTCGAAATCCATGAGCCCCATTTATGAAAGCCTCCGGCCAATTGCATTTGCAGTTTTGAATGCTTCAATCTCACAAACTCAGCGAGTGCGCTTATCAAAATCAATCTTCATTGCCATGAAGAAAGACGTGGTTCGTATTGCCGGAGAGGTATCTGTTTTGTACTGGTGAACCCGAGAAACCCAGATCACGATCGACCTTGTTCGTCTTCATAGACTCGTTCTTCGATACTGGAAACCAAATCATGATCGGCCTTATTTGTCTTGAGAAACCCACAACCACAGCAAAAGTACTGCATTCCGGCGCTATCACCACAACCTATGGCATCACAGTGTCACACCATGGATTCCGGCATAGAGATAAATAAATATAGAGAGAAGTCAATTTTTAGGGCACGAATTGAGATATATTTGAGATATTTGGATCACAGCGAATGTATTATAGATATACTTGTCTACTGTAATGACCAACGGCTTCATGACGGCGGACCGATGATGGTTTCACGGCGGTGGAAAAAGTCAGAAAGAGAGGGAATGTGAGAGAGAAGCTACCCTTTTTAGTCATTTCACAAAATATTAACTTATATATATATATTATTAAATATGTAGCTAAGGGTATTTTAGTCCTAAATGTGTGAGGAGGACTTATTTGCACAAATATCATAATTTAAGGGTATTTTTTGCACGTGAATGGTGCAATATGCACTGTATACATACTAAAGGAGTGTTTTCTGCACTTCATCCTCTTTTATATATATATATATATATATATATATATAAAGTAAAAAGTCAAAATTTTAAATACTTTAAATTGATTAAATATTACTATTTTGTTTATCTAAATACAAATTAGGTACTCATGATAAGTTGAGGATGAGTATTCACGTGCACCCCAATACTATACTCACATGTCGGTTGAGATACCAAAGGATCCATCATCATACAACTCTTTACTTTCTTTCCTTTTTCTTTTATTTTTTTATTTTTATGAGTAAAATGATTCGATTCCAATTTTAAAATTAAATAACTGTTGATAATAATTTGATTTTTGTTTGGGTCAAAGCCATATATATATATATATAAACTCAAATCCATATATATATATATATGGATTTGAGTTTTTATTGTGATTAATATAGATATAAAGTTCAAAATCGTAGAACCGGACCAAATAAATCATCTACAAAATAAGTTTGATTCTATTAATTAATTTCAAAATAGAACTGAAACAAATCAAACTGAACAGTATACCTTAAGTTTTAGGACGATTATTCAAATTGGATTAGAATGAACACAGCTTCTTTTATTAATTGGTTTGTGTTTACCTCAATTCGAGTCGGGTGTGGGTTGATGTTCAAGACCTTGAACCCGAAAATAAAAAAATAAAAAATAAAAAAAATAAAAAAAACAGTCTTAATCTAAAATCAGACATAAATCAAATGATAAGTCCGAAAATTGCTGTTTGACAAAGGAAAACTACATGAAAGTAGCCTATAAAAGGACTTCCCATTGGCTTTAAAGCTACTATTAAGTCGTCCTAATTTCCTAAGCCACCCCCAGCTTAAGTAACTTTAAAACCTCTCCATGCATATATATATATATATAATGAAAGCTCCTTTTCATGAGAAGAGAAAAGTATAGGTATCTGAATTCAGTTTCTGCTTCAAAAAAACTAAGCACTTTAAAAAGAGAAATACAGAGAAAAAGAGAAAAAAACTGCATTGTGTCAAGTCTAGCTCAATGTCTGTCTCAGAAGTCCTCCCCTTTCTTCTGCCATTGATTTTAGCTCTAATTTTCATCTTCCATCTCATGAAGAGAAAGAAAAACAGTCTTAATCTCCCACCAGGCAACATGGGCTGGCCTTTCCTCGGCGAAACAATCGGCTACCTGAAGCCATACTCTGCTACTTCAATTGGAGAATTCATGGAGCAACACATATCAAGGTAAATCATGAACATGAACATCCCAAGTGTGTGTTTGTGTGTGTGTGTGTGTGTGTTTTTTTTTTTTTTAATTTTTTTTTTTTATCAAATGAAGAAGAACCCGAGTTAAATACTTTAATATAGAACTCAAAATTGGGATTTTAATGCAGGTATGGGAAGATTTACAAGTCGAATTTGTTCGGCGAGCCTACGATAGTGTCAGCGGATGCAGGGCTCAACAAATTCATACTGCAAAATGAAGGGAAGCTGTTTGAATGCAGCTACCCAAGAAGCATAGGTGGGATTCTTGGGAAATGGTCTATGTTGGTTCTGGTTGGAGACATGCATAGAGACATGAGGATTATATCTCTCAACTTCTTGAGCAATGCTAGGCTCAGGACTCATCTGTTACCAGAGGTTGAGAAACATACCCTGCTTGTACTCAACTCTTGGAAGGACAATTCCACATTTTGTGCCCAAGATGAAGCAAAAAAGGTATATTTCCAAACACAGTCTTATACCCATAAAATGTATGTACACACACACATATATATGATTGCACATATTCGGAGTTTGCAAATCATCCCAGAGTCCAAAGTGGCTAGCGGATAAGTTGATCCTTTGTGACCGAAAAAAATAAATAAATAAATGTATGCATATATATATATTTATGTACTAATTGGAGAAGAATTTGCAGTTTACTTTCAATTTGATGGCAAAACATATCATGAGTTTGGATCCTGGAAAGCCTGAGACAGAGCAGCTGAAGAAGGAGTACATTACTTTCATGAAAGGGGTGGTGTCTGCTCCTTTGAACTTGCCTGGTACTGCATATAGAAAGGCTTTACAGGTAATAATACTATTGATAAATTAAACTAATTTACTTGAAAACTTGAAGTAAAATAAAAAATAAAAAATACCCATTTCAAAATTATACACCAATTTGTAGATGCGACTCATAATTATTGATTTGGTTTGTTATATAATTGGTTTCATCTTTTTCTTTTTCTTTTTGACAGTCGCGATCGATTATTCTTAAATTTATTGAGCGAAAAATGGAAGAGAGGATTGGAAAAATCGAAGGAACTGAGAATTTGGATGAAGATGATCTTCTTGGATGGGTGTTGAAACATTCGGACCTTTATAAGGAGCAAATTCTGGACTTGGTTCTAAGCCTACTATTTGCAGGCCATGAGACTTCATCAGTATCCATAGCTTTAGCCATCTACTTCTTGGAAGGGTGTCCAAGTGCAGTTCAGCAATTGAGAGTAAGCATCACATAATTAAATCCATCCTCTTTGGCTTTCATTAGCTTCTACAAATTGTTTTCTAAATGAATATATATATATATATATATATATATATTGTTATTATCCATTTTATTAAAAAAAAATGATATTTATGTCAATAAATACAGGAAGAACATACTGAAATTGCTACAGCCAAGAAGCAATCAGGAGAGGAGGAGTTGAATTGGGAGGACTACAAAAAGATGGAATTCACCCAATGTGTAAGCTTCTCTAATTAACTTCTGTTTTTTTCACATAATAAATGCCCACTATGGGACTCGAACTCTCATCTTAGGCGAGATTATAGTTTTATGGTATAATTACGCTTTGCCTAAATAACATGGACTTCCTTTTTAGTTTCAAATATAATACTGACCTCCCATCTGGTTTAAGCCTGAGTGATATTGACCTCCCATGTCATAAAATCTCACACTTTTGTCTGCTAATGTTATGGTCAATACCCAAAACCCAAACTATTCTTAGAAAGCTTGAAAATGTTATTTTGTTCATATTTTGAACTAATAAAAGTGCAATGGTTATCATAGTAATTTAACACGTTCGGGTTAAAGTCAAGACTGACATGGGAGGTTAGTGTTATTTTTTGAAATAATAGAAGAGTCTTTTGTTATTTAGGCAATCTACGGGGTGATGAGTGTTTTAATCCTTAGTTTTATAGTGTAAGAGACATTATGTTAAATTTGTACATGGACTTAAAGTTAATTTTGTACTGTGTTTTTGAAGGTTATTAGTGAGACACTGAGGCTTGGTAATGTAGTGAGGTTTCTTCACAGGAAGGCTCTCAGAAACGTTCGGTACAAAGGTAGGTCAGAGTGACAGTTCATTATATATATATATATATATATATATATATATATTTCATCAGTTCATTTGATATGAGTGAGTATGCATTACCGGGGAAAAAAAAAAAGTAGCCGGAATCTGACCCACTTTGAATTTGTTTATTGTTTTATGTGTTTTAAAGGGCATGACATTCCATGTGGGTGGAAAGTGCTTCCGGTGATTGCAGCCGTGCATTTGGATCCTTCACATTTTGAGCAACCTCAACACTTCAATCCATGGAGGTGGCAGGTTTGTCTAAGAAACTTGGGAAAGCATTTATATATATATATATATTCCCAACCACCATTATCATTATTTCTTAGATTCGCTTCTCTAAAATAAGGAAGTGTGTCAACTACAGAAATTCCTAATCATTAATTTTTTTTGGCAAATGATACATCCACACAATTAGTCGTCACAAAACTTAAAAGCATTTTTATTTTTTTGTGGTGGTGTCGTGCTTCTTACGGTGAACCATAATTTACTACAGAACACATGAAGTTTCTCCTGTCATGTCTTATATTCAGGAAACCTTCTCCGAAATAATAAAGTGTGTCAACTATCGAAACTCCTTATCATTAATTTTTTTTTTTTTTTGACAAATAATACATCCACACAGTTAGTCGTCCCAAGACTTAAAAAGTATTTTTATTTTTTTATAATGGTGTCGTGCTTTTTACGATAAACCTTAATCTACCGTAAAACAGTCTTTCCCGTCCCGTCTCGTATTCAGGAAAAGTAATGTGATGACGGTGCTCTCAATTGAATTTGTGTTCTCGGCCATTGCTGTGTCCTTCTAGTAACATTATGTACTCAATAATAGTACCAATGAAAACACAAATTCATGATTTCAAGCAGTGTGATCAGAGATTGCTCCCCATAAAAACCTCCTCACCGAAGAACAAGGACCCATGTAAAACACCTAGTAGGTCCCACTAACATTCCATCAGGACTATTTGTGAGGTGACATAGGGGTAAAGTCAATGACATTACATTTATAGTCTTCTAGAAATACATACAGTATATATCTATTAATGATTTTATGGGAATTTAATGGGAGAATATAAAAGAAATGAGAATTGTTTTATTTCGTTTTTAAATAACTAAAGTAATATTACATACTATGGCAATTATTTACCCAGGGAAAAAAAAAAAATTATTGGCATATTTCTTTTTCTCTTTATATTTAATTTCTTTTTATTACGATTCTAAGCTCTAATTCCATATTTTACGTGTAAAATTAAGAATTTCTTTATTATTATTCTTCTTCTTACCTTATTTTTCACAAAATAATCACATTTTTCGTTGAAAAATGTTGTGACTAGTGTACCCTCAGTGAGCTCCCATCTCATCATCATAAATCACATGGCTGTCATGATCAACCATTAAATCTAACAAACGATTGAGGTACCTGCTAGGGGTACGAGCTAAGTATATCATTATCATATCACACCGTTAATTTTTTATTTTTTCCCGGCAATGAATTAGAAGTTAGAGGAGAGAGGGATAGGTGGCTCGAACCAAAACTCACACGCCAAATCGCGAAGCTTGTCCATCAACCGAGCAACAAAGCACACCTACTTTCTAAGTCGAATTCAATCAAAATTTATAGACACAATATCTTGGTAGGTTTCACTACAGGCCGTGCCTCTCAATTAGGGCTAAATTACGCAGAATATCTTCGAACGTTTTTGAAACCCTTGGATGCATTGGGTGGGACTCAGGACACCACTCAATGCATTCAAGGGTGCAAAACCATTCGGCCCTAGAATTTGATTAAAAAAAATGATAAATCCTTCAAATTAGAGAATGTCAAATGATTAAAATACGAGTATGTCATGAATTCTATCACATAATGTCACCTGACATCATGTGATGGGATTATGGATTCATGCCATTACTTACTAATCATTTATTTTTATTTTTTAAATTCGAAAAATATATCGTTACTCATTGAAACAAAATTTTCAATGGGAAGTAGATTATTCTTTTATTTTATTATCTCTTCTCATATATACAGCATCCAACGATTTACAAATATCACACATGCATGCCATTACAACGTGTGATGCTTGTGTGATCTTTTTGGGTTCAAATAGAGCCTAAAGATAATTGGATATTCGGATAAATTTTTTTTTTTTTATCATGATCCATCCCTAGTTGGGCCCATGAAATGAACTGTCAAGATTGATGACAAGTGTTGCACATCGTACGGACATAGGGCCCACCTAGACGTGGATCATCTTGAAATGACACGTGTCCTTGTGGGGGAGGGGGGGTTAGGGGCTCGAGATGATTCAAAGCCCATGTGATGGTGGGGTTGTCACGTGCACCAGTGCTTTTCCATACTGGGCCCATTTGCACGTTTTGGTCCAACAAATTTCCAAATTGGATGTCACAAATTTTATTAGGAAAATTAAACGATATACTGTAGTATACTACGATAGAAATATCAAAAGATAAGGTCCTATAACCACATATGACTATGCTAGTGAGCCCCCACTATTGGGGAAAAATAGGGCACAGATATCCATTCCACATGCTCTTGTTCTCGCGCACTGTTAAAAAAAGTTTGGCTTGTATGATAATGTGTACCTTTTTCCTTTTTTATGAAAAAAAAAAAAAAAATTCGAAAAAAAAAACTCACAAGTAAACGTGATTTTACAATACTTGGATATTGATACTTTTCTTCACAAAATACTTATTCAACCAAAAGTGACATACTTATACATTATACTTTGCTTAGAAACATTACTCTTACATCCTCCGTCCCATATTCCTTGTCAATCTCTCTATTTAGGAATGTCTCATATTAGTTGTCTCATTTAAAAAGTCAAAATAAAATAAGATTATATCTTCATAATTATCTTTCAAATTTCAAAAATCTCAAAACTTAGTAACATGCATATTTAAACTTAGAAGGATAACTTGGTAATTTTAAAAGGGTGTCAATGTATTAATTACATGTTCCCTTAAAAAGTCATAATATTTAAAGTGAACAACTAATATGGAATAGAAGAAGTATTATTTAGTAGCCAAATAATAAAGTAGTAACAATTACAAATAGGGAAAATTATATTTTAGTGACCAAAATTAAATATAATTGGTGTAAAGTAACCTTAAAATCAAGAAATGGTGAATAGTCACCAAACCTAAAACTTAATTACTAATAAGTGACCATTTGATGATTTATTACTTAAATAACCTTCTTATAATATACTACATTATTATGTAAGTGGACAAATTTACCCTCTACATTAAGCTAAATAAATACTTACTTAAATTAACTAACAAATAGATAACATATTATGAAGTCTCTAAAGAGAAGTCTAAGATGGGAAAAAACTGATGACTGATGTTCTGCATCGTTTTCTTCAAGGTTCTAAGAGGCCGAACGAAAAAATTGTAAATTTTATTCTTATTCATTATTTTCAAAGTATAGTTATTATACTTTACAAGTTAATTTGTTTGAGAGATCTTCCTTAAGATATAAGATTGTAATTTTTAGGTATTTTTTAATACTACTGAGCTATAATTTAAGAAATAATGACCATTGTTGATTAATTTCAGAATTTTGCCAACTGTTAATGGGTGTTTCAAAAGTATGCATATCTATGATTTGCAAAATATGAAGTTATCATATAAGTTGTTATTGTGATTGCTTGGGCTTTGGAACATTTTGTATCACGTAATTACACTTCGGTTTTTGAAAGTGAATATATTACTTTAGACATTGTCATTAGTTCATGTCTCAAAATTAGATTTCTTTGTAATGCACTTCATTTATTTGTTAAAATACTTGAAAACTATTTCTTTAAAAAAAAAAATTTGTCTTTTTTTTTTTTTTTGGATTATAAATGAGTAACATTTGAATTGATCTAATACTCTAATTATATCGCCAAAGCACACGTCACAAACCCGTGCTTGAGGGAAGGCACTAAAACAAGGGCTCATGACCCTTAACCTTTTGCACTTTCAAATGATAAGAACGAGTAATCCACAACCCTAGTTTAACTAAATAACCTTTCTATAGCCTTAACCACATCCTGTAGACCTTAGAAACAAAGTGAGAAGGGACCGGCCTACATAAATATTCTATAAAGAGTATTTTGGGATGGATTTTTTTTTTTTGGTTTGCCACTGTAAATATTATGTTTTGCCGATAAGGGTGGAAAAAAGATAGTGTTGATAAAGAAATTCTAATTTTTTTAATTAGTTAATTGCAAACTAAAAAGGAAAAAAGAAAATGTTGGATGAGAGAGAGTAGGAGGATGAATTCAGTGAGTTATTATTTGTATTGAATGGCAATTTTGTCATTTAAAGTTTATTTTTAAAATGTTTATCAAACCTTTAAGTTTTTTTGACTAAATTATCCTCAAATGGTCACTTTTTTTGACTAAATTATCCTCAAATGGTCACTTAATATCAATTAAGTTTCAACATTGATCACTATGTATCTTTTCTCGACTTTAAGGTCACCATAGAGCAATTATGTTTAATTTTGATCACCAAAATATAATTTTCCCTTACAAATACTTATAAACATTAATGATAAATTATCATGGTGTTAACGAGAATCGGATTCTTAACCCTATTATTGTTGGTGATACAGAACTTTTCAACCGGTTCGAGCACTACAATGAGCAGTAATTTCATGCCATTCGGGGGAGGATCGAGGCTCTGTGCAGGGTCCGAACTGGCGAAACTCGAGATGGCGGTGTTCATCCACCACTTAGTTCTAAATTACCGTTGGGAATTAGTCGACGCGGATCAAGCTTTCGCCTTCCCATTCGTGGATTTTCCGAAAGGGCTTCCCATCAGAGTCCAAAAACATATGAAAGAGAGGACTCCATGAACACACTTTAACAGATGGACCTCAACCTCTCTCTCTCTCTCTCTCTCTCTCTCAGCCTTTCATGTTTCATATAGGAACATGACAAGGATTTGTTTCTATGTTTGAAGATGAGGTTCCTTGGATTTTCTAACTGCCTGGTGCAAGTTGTTTAGGCTTTCTATTCATGCTTCACATGGACAGAGGGAAGACATAAGTGAAGTACAAATATTACTAGGACCACCACATTTCTCATCACTCTCATTGTAAATTTTATTATCTACCCTTTGGTCCATATATATTATTATTCATTTGTATGTGATATGATTTTATAATTTATATTGCTGTAATTAATTATTTTGTAATTTTATTGGGAGAGCATGGCCTCCAATTGTAAGGATTTTAATAGACCATTGGTTAATGAGATTTAGAGCTTGCTTAGTAAAGTGTTGGTTTTCAATTTTCTTACTTGGTTTGTCAATCAAAAAATAATTATCTATAACTCAGGAAATTATTTTTAGAGAACCTTCTTTTGTATTTATCTGAAAACATGCTTTTTTTTTTAATTGAATTTTCATATAACTATTAACTGAGCATATTTTTTATATATATTACCAAATGACAACAGCCCAGTTGGTACAAATTTGGCCTTCCCAAATGGGAGGTCAAGGTTCAAACATTAGTGGAATTTCCAAATTAAACATCTTATTCTTTCGCCTATAAATACAAAGTCACTCAACATTTCGTGGACAAATACAAACGGAGAGATACATAGACTACTTAAGCTCTTTTGAAGATGAAGAATAACAAATATGTCACATAAGTATCATTCCTTTTTAAAAATCTTCAACCAATCGTTTGAGATCAAGTTTCGTCAATCCTCATTCAAAAATCTAATCATGCCTTCTTCAATCTCGAAGATTTGAAGAACACTCATCACAATCGGTTCAAGTTCAAATTACTGGTTAAACATTATAACCCAAATCATCATTGTTAGTTTTAGATGAAAGGACAAAGTTATAATTGAAACTCATGGTAAAAGATAATAGCCACCTAATATTTGTTCCTTCGAAAACCATAAGGTCCAAAAAATAAAAATAAAAGTATTTATCCTCCTTATTTTTGGCACTACTCGAAAAACTAAAAAACATTGATTGGGGTTTTCATTTTGTCTCTTATTAACCACTAGTTAGCATAGGGTGCTTCTCGAAGGCTTATCAAGACCCTACAATCACACCATTGCTATGGGAGACCAAACCTTCTCCTGTAACTATCAAGAAAGAGTTATCCTTTCAAGAATTGTGATCCGTTATTTTTTATTTTTTTTTGAATTCGGGAAGTAGGCACTCAACCAATTAGATTATTGCGTAATACCCAACTGTAAACCCAATTAAACAAACCCAAAGCTAAGCAATGGCTCAGTTGTCTTTTTTTATAAAAAAAAAAATAATAATAATAATAAATTGTTGTCTTTTGAAATGCAGTCCCAATTTATTTATGCTTCTAACCAGTTACAATATCTTTGAATAATTAATTATGTGTACCAGTAAACCCAATTAAACAAACCCAAAGCTAAGCAATGGCTCAGTTGTCTTTTTTTTATAAAATAATAATAATAATAATAAATTGTTGTCTTTTGAAATGCAGTCCCAATTTTATGCTTCTAACCAGTTACAATATCTTTGAATAATTAATTATCTGTACCAGTAGATAGTGTCACACTACTTGCATTGTAGATTTGTGATTAATATTTGGACTGAAAAAAAATTCAAAATCCATGTGGTGTCCATTGCATGATTATCTACAAAATACAACAACAAAGATGTGAAAACCCCATTTAATTTTAACCCAACTTGTTAATAGCACTTATTTGTTTTTTAAAATTATTATTATTAATTTTTAACATGGCAAACAAAAATATTATTAAAAAAATCAGCATCTACTGTTTCCCTCCACCTAAGGTAGTGATAATCCTCAACAATACATGATACTTGGTGGAGAAGAACCTTCTTAAAATTAAATTTGTTCTTTTTGGGTAAGTGTGATTACAAAACATGTACAAAAATAAAAATATTAAGGTCTTGTTTGGTTTGCGTTTTATTTTTGACGTTTTGTTTTAATCCGAAACAAAATAAGTGTTTTATTGTAGAGTGATTTGAATAGTACTCGGAAGCATGTTTGGTAATATCCATTTGTTACCAAAAATTTTAAAGCAAAAACATAAAAATAGGCTCCGTTTAGTAACGAGAAATATTTCTTATTTTTTGTTGTCAATCTCTAAAAAGGTAAAATGAAAACAAAAATTGCATTCAATAAAAGTTTTTATTTTTCTATAACAGAAAACGTTTTCAATTTTTGTGAAGAAAAAAGAAAACATCAAAATGATGTTTCTTATGTTTTCGGCACTATAACGCAAAAACGTTTTCATTAATGTTACTGCACAGACACTATTCATTTCAAATAAAATTCATATTAGTTGTATTATATACTAAGTTGCATATTAAATGTTAATAAAAATATATTTTTTAATATAGAATAAATTAAATATTGTATATTGTTTTCTATTTGATAAAAATATATTTTAATATATAATATACGTATTAAATAATATTGTAAATTATTTTTTGTGACAAAATAATTTTTGATATAGAATATGATGTTATTAAATTATTAAAAAGTAGATATTTTATATTATTATATATCATATCTATATTATAATATATATAAATATTAAATTATAATTAATTTACAATATTATAACACATTATATATTTTATTACATATAAGATATATTATTTAATATTTTTTATTCATAATAAATTATCATATGCTAAATATATTATATATCACATAATAAATATATATATCATGCATATACATATATTTATATACATAATTGGTGGGAATGTTTTTGTCTCGGTATATCTAATTTTGTACCTATAATGTATTGGGTATTTTTAAGATTTATAATTTTAAATTAAATTTTCTAGATTTATGATTTTTTTATATTAATGGAAGCAAGTGTCGTACATGAGTGTTTGGGTTGCATTTGTATCCAAGAGTTCGTATTCAAGTCATCTACCCTCCCCTCTAATCAATAATTCCTAAAATTCTTACCATGAAAAAAATAAAAAATTCAAAGAATATTATGTACATTTTGTAACAAATATGTTGTATTACTAAAAACAGTTATCGTTTTATGTTTTTAAATTTGTGACAACAATAAGTGTTAATAAACATCATTTTTGTTTTCTATTTTCACTCAAGAAAGTAAAATCATGTTTCTGCTTTCTTAAGACTGTAAAAACAGAAAACTAAAACGTTACTAAACACACTCAATTTAGTTAAAAAGTGTTGTAAATTTGAAAAATATAATGGTTAGTTCTAAAATGTCATTTTTAAAAATAAAAAATAAAAAATAAAAAATTTACAGTTCCTAACTACAGTTGTCGTTTTTAGGTGTTGAAACATGTAGAAACACTAAATTGATGTTTTTATTTTTATTTTCAATATTGTGCAAAACAAAATATTTTTTACCAAACATGTTTTTTCTATTATTCACGACTACAGTACTTGATAAAAACAAAAACAATAAAAACAAAGCGCGTATCAAACAGGACTTAAGGCTGAATCAAATAGACCAAGTATCTCTCAATGAAAAAGAACATATTATATATCTAGTGTGTCTCTCATCCATGTAATGTTAATTCAATAAAATATATATATATATATATATATATACACACACACACACTAATTTTGCATTTATGATTATTTTGCACAAAGTGCCTAAATACATCCTCGTTGACCTCTATTGACCTTGTGTAAATCTTCCATCACATTAGTGCAAGATATGTTTTTTTTGGATCAGGTCATTAGAGTGCAATATGTTGATGAACCCTATCTAGATCTTCCTTGAAAAGTATGTATCTCTTTTTGTCATAAAAAATAAAGTTAAACAATTAAAGATACCATTGTTTGATATATCTTTTTGTGGTTGTGTCGAGTCCCTATCAAAGAAACAACACGAATGCATCATCTAAATGTATCCTGTTTCACACCTTTTTCCAATAAATGCAATACCATCCTTTTCATTCCGGCTTATTAAAACAAATTAACCTAAGAAAACCCAAATTTGATTTATTTGTTTCATATCATTGTGTTTAAGTTATTGAAATAATTTCTAACTACTAAAAAGTTGAGAATATACATTTATTAGTCAACTGGCTGTTAATAGTCATATGAAATGACTTTTATATCCTTGGGTATGATAAAAATATATAGGGTAAAGTACATTGACACCCCCCGAGGTTTGGGGAAAGGACAAGCAGAGGAAAGTTAACATGTTTTTGGACAATGACACCCCTTCAAGTTTGAAAAATGGACAAAGAGACCCTGAAGATGGTGAATTGACCTTATTACCCTTTCAAATAAAATTAACATTTTAATTGACTTAAATACCCTTTGATTAAACCCAAACCCGAAACCAAACCCGAACCCGAACCCGCCTGCGTATATTATACAGTTCACCAGAGGAGAGAGAAGGGAGATCAGATGGATGGTGGTTGTGGCCGCGGTGGTGGGTGTAGAGAGAGGGGGAAGAGAGGGCGGCCATAGTTGAAGAGATGAGGTAAAGAGGAGAGAGAGGAAGAAGCATCGGCAATGACTGCAACAGTGGGGGTGGCGGCGATGACTGTGACAATGGCGGCGAAACCCAGAAGTATCGACGAAACCCTGAAATTGCCGGCGAGGCTGATGACGATGCGGCCACGGACTGAATAGTGTGGCGAAGTTTAGAAACCGAGCAACAAGAGATCGATGAGCAAAAACAATCCGGCGAGGACCAAGCTCCGATGACGACAAGGTTCAGATAAGCACAGTCCGGCGACCGTCACCTGCAAGGCCGAGGAGGCTGAAGTGGCCATTGCTTCTGCCGTCCGTTTTAAGTCTAATTAGAGCCTTTTTCCGTACGAAAGTGAGAATTGGGAATGGTGATGTGCACAGATGAAGGGGTGATATATATGTGTATGTGTGTGTGCATGTGTATGAGAGAGGAGAAGAGGGTGGTGGTGGCGGCGGCACCGATCTCATCCTCAAATCTTCCCTGCAGGCTCAAACATCAACTCTCTACCGCTGTCAAGAATGAAAGACACCGGCGTGGGGAACGTCTCTGTCAATCCCGGTCAAACCCGACTTGTCCAAGGCCGAGTTCGCCGCCCAAACCGAGGCTGAGCTCCGGCGAGGTCAAGGAGGTGGCAGTGGCAGAGCTCCTTTTTGGCGTCTTCTTTAGTGGGTGGTGATTATGGAGGTTGGGGGTTGGTGGAGATTGGGGGCGGTGGTGACTGGTTGTTGGTGTGTGTGTGTGTGTGTGTGTGTGTGTGTGTGTGTGTGTGTAAGTATATATGAAAAGGGTATTTTGGCCATTTAAGTTTTAAATATTTTATAA